CAAAATGAGGAATAACAGTACTATGCTCATGGGGAATATGGAAGCTAAATGAGATAAATGAATGAAAACTGATGAGGCTACAAAGCACCATTCAATAATGCTATTAAATATATAGTTCATAGCATTAATTTCATTGACTGACTTAACAACACTGTATTTAGAAACAGCAATGTGTGATATTTTCACCTACCCCTAAAACATAAATGTGAGTTAAAATATCCAGATTCCAAGATGTGCTCCAAATCCATTCTGTCCATCAGCCAGTATTTAGCAAATTTTTGAGACTCAGCCTCCTAACACTATTAGCCCTTCTATCCTTACATATCAAAGTATAGGAAGGCTTTCCAGAATAGGCAAATGGAGTCTCTAGAGCAACGCTTTGGTGGTGAGCTCACTGGTTTATGGATCTACCTTTGTGAGCACCGGAGAAGCAACCAGTGGCACTTCTTAGAGCCTCACTTTGAAGCTGTCACTTCACACCTGCAGGCCAGGTTCCTGGGTTATCCAGGCAAAGAGAGAACAAGAGATGCTGCCTAAAAGTCAAACACAGCCCATGTTTTAGCTTCGGGGCTGGGGAGATAGGCTCTAACTGCTTTCCCCTCTGTCTCCTCTGTTCCCTGAAGGCTCCTGACTAACCTCCAGCTGGCCCCTCTCCTCCTTGACCTACACCCTGCCATCCATCTTGAGTTTGGCACTTTTGATTTGAACACAATACCCATTTGGTCCCTTACTAGTCTGACATTCTAAGCAGCCATGATGCCCTAGATTTCTTAGAAGTACGAAGCTGGTCACAATGAGCTCATGAAATAATCATTGTTATATCTATTAAGTAGACCTTACTATCTGTGTTTCACAGGTTTGAAATACTAACTGCAACCTAATTTATCTCAGATGGAATTGGGCATATAAGACTTTGAACTGAGTCCAGACTCCTATAAATATGGTCTTATTTAATGGATATAACTTGGAAAAAGGCAGTATTATAGGAACAGTTAATAGTAAAATAGTACCTAAAATTGTTGTTGAAGAAAGAAGTATTCAGATACCCCATGTGGCCAATCACAACCTCAGAAGAGCAGGCTTTTTATCTGTCATAAGCACCCAAGATTTATCAATAAAATTCACTTAAACGCCAGCCTTACCCTCCACAATACAGAGTGAATTTGCATCAAAGCAAACAGTGGCTTCCTGGTAGGGCCAGGACAACTATGTTACACTGTTTGAAGAACCAAGAGCAAAGCACAACTCCTACAAGGAAGGCAAAGTTGTTTCAAACTGAAATAGAAAAGAAAGAAAAGAAATCCCCTGTATCTTGGTCTCAGTTCTCTGTATATATCTTGCTCTGCAGCACAGCACACAATGGACACTTTGTTCAACTACTCGGGGCTATTCAGCTGCTATAATTCTGGGTGCTTTGGCGGATTGTGTTCTTCCTTTTCTGAAACTGAAAAGACGGTTATGTAAGGAAGCATCAAGAGAAAGCTAACTGCTTCAGTTCAGCAACTGGCCAAACCAGACCCACCATCTTGATGCACTGAGTCCTCCATTAGAAAGCTGAGGAGAACAGTCAGACACTCAGGGTCCTTGCTTTGCCCTGCCTCTGTCTAACCCTGTGTGAGCCAGAACGTGGTCCACCACACTCAGATCTCCTCAACCATGGACATCAGGCTGTAGACACAGTGGTGGGCTTGCACAGTCAACAGGCACACAGCCATGGGAAATGAACCTTCTGAAGTCTTTAAGGCAAGAATGCTATTAAAGATTTGCAAGCATCCTGCATCAGAGAAAGCAACTCTGAGGCAAACTAGAGTCAATCAGAATTGCTGTGTGAAAGCAGGGACAGACAGACTGTTGGGCGGCACAGGCTCTAATAGAAAAATAGATCTTTCTGAGGCTTATATTTGACATCACCCAGGCAGTGGGTGAACACTTAGTCTAAGTGGAAAATGTCTGGATGTCACTGTCATTGCCCCTCACATGGAAAAGCAAACTGCCTCACAAGTGCATCAATTCCTGAGTTGAAATACAAATCAAGAGAGGGGGTAATTTTTAAATTATTAAGGCAGTATGGAAGTTACAGAGGCAGCTCCATGATAAGGCCCCTCTAAGTTATAGACCTGTTCTCCTAGAGGTAGACAGCACATTGCAGATGCTAACACAGGCAGAGGGGCTCAGACCAGTCATAAAAGTCACAGATCTCACTCTACTGTGGAATAGTCATAATAAGAGTAGTTGTTGTTGTTACAGGACACATTTGTTACATGTTTGCCATTTCCCAAGCCAAAAAAATTAAGCATTCTACATTAACCATCTCATTTTCCCATTCCTAGGTAGATATTATTGCAGTTGACACATTCCTAGCATGTCAACTTTGCTGAGTCCTTTTGGGGCTTCTTTGTGAGGCAAGTGCTGCTCCATTAGACTCCAAAATGACCAGGCATGAGGAGTACCTATTCCAAGAGAGAGAATATGAACTTCTGCTCTGACATTCAATATCCATCCAATCCAGGGCCTACCACTTACTTCTTCTTTGGCTTAGTTTCCTTCCCTAGAAAATGGGAATGGCAAAGGCAGTCTTTAAAAGGGTTACTGCCAAGGTTAAGCAGAATAGTACAGAAAAACACTTACAGTCTGATGCATTAGAGTTACATAGGTATTAGCAGATCATATTTTATTTCTAGCTCTAAGTAATATACATTTCCCTAAAAGGCCAATTAATCTAACCCAAACACAAAAGTAATTGGAGTAATCTTATAATGTAGGGATTAATTTTAAATTTCACTTTACAGATGAGAAAACTGAGATTTATACTAGCTAAACAACTAGCTGGAGTATGGGTGGCTAGTTAATTCAGCCTCCAATACAGGCAGTCTGATGTCCATAGCTTCATACCTTCTGGATCGGCATGCTCTTTCAAGGAGAACAGAACTCATTGTCAGGGTGTACATACTATATTAAGGATATTGTGGAGGCTGGTAAACTCTGGTAATCTATTGGAAGCATCAGTGAAATCAAAAGTAAATTGATATACTTTGGAGTATTCCAACTTGACCAACATTCCATTCCCTATGTGATTAGATATAATACAAAACGCACAAAAGGGGGTATCTATGATTTTCTGTCCTTGTAGGACAGACACGGAGGGGAAAGAACGAGCAAGTATGTGACTGAACAAATTCATAGGGGCATTTCGGGTTTTCATAAGCAGTGCTACAGATGAAAGTATGATTGCCAACCTCATAGTACTCCTTCCTAGAGATATCATTTGAACTGAGAACTGGAAGACAACAATATATCACCCACGGGTCAAGAAGCAGAAAAGGCACTGACAAATTCCATAACTCAAAAGGAGACCATCAAGTCTAGGACATACAAAGAATCAACGGGGTAAGTGAGAGGAAGTTACACATGAGAGATCATTGAGGGTAGGCCACGGCCACCGGTTTGAATTTTATTCCAAATGCATTGGAAAACACTAAACATTTTAAGCAGAGGGATGAGGAAACTAATGTTCCTTACACTGACAGTCCGGGTGCCTTGTGAATGAGTACAATAGGGAAGAGCAGAAGCCAAGCTTTCTGAAATCATCTGAGTAAGAAAGGAACTGGGGGCCGGGTGTTGGTGGCGCACGCCTTTAATCCCAGCACTCGGGAGGCCGAGACAGGCGGATCTCTGTGAGTTCTAGGCCAGCCTGGTCTACAGAGCGAATTTCCGGACAACTTCCAAAGCAATACAGAGAAACCCTGTCTCTAAGAAACCAACAACAACAACAAAAAAAAAAAGAAGTAGAAGAAAGGAACTGGGGATGGCCTTTTTTTTTTTTTCTTGACAAATTTCCACTCAAAAACTGGAGATGTGTTTTATATTTGATTTGAATTACTTAATTAAGACTTAGCCTCTAACATCTTTACAGACCAAAATAATCTTAACTCTCTTCTTCAATGCCCTCATGGTTGAGTACATGAAAACTGAGGCATGGTAATTTCAAGACTTGCTAATGCCCCATCAAGCAAGAAATAGCAGATTTTATTCATTAAAAAAAAATCAGATGGGATGGAAAGGACACAAAATCATAATAAAGCACGCAAGTTTATACCAGTTTTCTGTTTGGGACACCTAATACCCCACATTTGGCACTTGAAATCTTTACAGTGTAGCTAAATCCCACGAGACTGACCACAGGATTCTCACACTAACGTGAAGTCATCCAGCACTGTGCTCAGACACATCCATGGAGTCTGCAGGGTTAAAAGCAGCTCCGCGGAGTCAGAGAACTCTGTGTTCTGCCTGAGAAAAGTTCATGAACGTAATTTTACGCTCTTGTTTTCTTTCTGTTCCTTCCTTCAGGTTTAGGCACTAAAAAAAAAAGAAAAAAACCAATGACTCTCTGGGTTACACTTAGCCATTTTTTTTTACAAACACTCCCTAAAGTGGCAAAGCTTTCTTAAAAAAAAAAAGAAAGAAAGAAAAGAAAAGAAACAAAAGGGGGAGGGGTGGGGAGCCAGTATGAAGTTCCTCTGAGTTCCTGCTCTCTTAGAGCACGGCTCCTATCACACAATAATGTGTTATTTTGTTGAATTTTGGCATCCATCTAGCTTGTTTGGTCAGAAGCCAAAAAATTAAGAGTGTGTCGGTCCACCAGTTTCTCAGCAGAGAAGCGCTCTTCTCACCCAGCCAGTGCGCAGTGCCCTTGGCCTCTGGCCAAGAAGGGAAATCCATTTTACATAGAGAATGCACGAAGCTCAAGTGCGCAGAGACTTTTTACCTACTGAAATAACTTTGTGGACAAATGCCAGTCTGCTAGACACATTCTGCAGGAACATTTGGCATGCAACGCAAGGCAAAGGACTCTGCCGAGGGAGCAAGCGTTGTGGGTTTTTTTTTTCCTGAACAAGGAAATGGCTGTGCTGCCCTCGTGGCACGTCACGTGCCCTGGCACAGCCCGCTGATTGGCTGCGGCGGGTAAACACGGCGCCATGTACGGCAGCGTCGCCTCGCAGGTCGTGAAATGGCGCCCGGGGGCCCAAGCTCGGGCCCCGGGCCCCTCGAGTTCCTAGTGTTTTGTTTTTGTGTTTTGGTTTTGGTTTTTTTTTCTGCTTTTGTTTTAATAAAGCTCACGGATTTGAGTGGAAACAGATTTCTCACAAACTTGCTTCTCCGGCTGGATTTCACAGCTCGGCACACACACACACACACACACACACACACACTCACACACACACTCACACACACACACTGGGGCTGTCACAGGCTTGACAGCATTCCAGGGAAAACACTAACGGGGAAACTCTGCGAGGGGAATTAAAGGAGCAGGCAGCGGTGTCCTCCCCGGCAGAGCACGTGCATGTGCATGGATGGCCTCCAGCGTGCGCCCACCTCTGCAGGCCGCCGCGGGAAGGAAGGAAGGGAGGGAAAACAGATCCGTCCCCTTCGGCTGACGGCATGAAGGAGCCCTCTTCCTCTCAGGCCTGACCAGTTGAACACCGCACCTCCTGGTGTATAAATATTTGCCTCTGGCTGAAGTTCAAGCCCTCTGTGGCTGCCAGACACAAGAGAAAACCAACATCCAAGGGAAAGTGTTCACTGTGGTGCTGGCCAAAGGAACGCCAGCCAGCAAAGGATCACCACATGTGATTGGCCAGGCCCACCTATGGCAGTGTCAGGAGGCGCCAGGCCACCGACCACTGGGGGTGTCCCCACCCTTTCAGTAATGGCTGTGTTCCTTAACACGCACCCTTGCTTGTTAACCCAAGACCAGAAGACTTCCTGGTGGTTTCCCACGTGTTCCTCCAGAACGAACGGGCCCAAATGATCATAAGCCACGCTCTTAACTCTTACCACTCCAGAAAAACAAGTGGATGGATGCTCCTTTGAGGGACCCAAGTAAGGTCTGTAACCTTTTTTGTACATGTCTACATTTTTTGGTTCTGGTATGGCCATTAGCAGGTTTTCTGATTCCCCCTACTAAGTGCTAATCACCATTTGGCGATTTTAAGCATTAAAAAAAAGCCACTCAAGAAAAAACATTCAACCTCTGAAAGGTATCTAAAATGAATTTATTTATTTTTAAAGATAGAGCTTGAACCCATGGCCTTGCACACATTAATCACCTGCTCTACTACTGAACTACACCCAGGCTGTTGACTTTTTTTTTTTTTTTGAGATGAGGCATATAAGTTGGTAGACTGCTCACACTGGCCTTGAAATCCCTATGGGACCAAGATTAGTTTCTAACTTAGGATTATCCTGCCTCAATTTCCCAGGTATACATTTCAAGTATGTGCTTCTATAACTGGCTAAAATATTTTAAAATGAGTCATGCATCCTTCAAACTGCCTTGCTCCAAACCAGAAGAGTTCTAAAACAGGTAGAAATAATGAAAGCTGGTCATCAAAAGATTAAGAGCTCTAACTAAGATAAAGAAAGATCATCTAGAAAATCTTCAGGAAAGCAGTGAATCCATGGTTAATATTAAGCATGTAGCATTTTGAGGGGGAGGTGGTGATTCTCAATAAGGTTAAGGTATAACATGAGCTCTGCATTGCTCTCTCTACATTTCGGTTTTATAAGCAATGATGGGGTCACACGTTTCCTTAGTACTGCACAGGAAACACATTGAGCTGAACTGCAAAGGTATACAGAAAGATGGGGCAGAAAAATCAAGAAAGATAGAAAAAGTTTTAAAGCATTTAATATTATGTCGCAGAGATTTAGGTAAAGCAAGGTATAGTGTTCCCCTATCTCCATTCTCCATTATGTTTTTTGTTTGTTTGTTTGTTTTTAGACAGGTTTTCCCTATGTATCAGCCCTGGCTTGTCCTGGAATTTGTTCTGTAGACGAGGCTAGCCCCGAACTCAAAGACACCTATCTGACTACCTCTAAAGGCGTGTGCTATGAGGCCGAGCTCTGCTGTTAGGTTTTCATCTGTTTTGAATAAAATATGCATTTGCTGAACTGAAACATTTGCTAGGTTTGTTTAAAATGAAGATTTTCTATCCTATACAATTTAGAACTTTAGCTTTGAAAATAAAGAAACTTGATCTTCCTGCAAAACTAAAATAATTTGTCAAATATTTCCATTTTCAATTGTTTATGAAACTTTCAACAACTACATTGTCCTCCTGTGATACTTAACCAAATACACAATTTAAATTTGATCTGTACTGAACCTTAGAAGACCAGGACTCAGTACTGAGTCCAGCTTTCAAGTGATCCCTGAGAATCCTGTGCAAGGGGATCACAGAAGAATGTTCTGTTCCCAGCTGTGAACATGACAGAATTAGCTCTGAGATGTTCCCTCCCACTGCCCTACTGGACGGAAAGGTCGAGATGGTCAGCTCTTGTAGTCTCAGCATGAACCGTCAAAACAACATGCACGTTAAAAATAGATTGTCTGTAGCAACCAAAATACAAATGCAGAAAGGATTGAAAGTAAAAATAGTTTTAATGTATTTAAATTTCAGATCAAATACTTTCAAAGAACATAATCTAAAACCAAAGACTGCAAGAATAAAGTAAGAAATAATTTTCTCATTTTATAAACTCTTGAGTTTTAAAATTTGAAAAACAGTCATTCTGACCCATGGTTGACACTTTTCTTAGGAAATTCTTTGGATTCATAAGTAATTCACTGGGAATTAAAACACTAGGGGCAAATTTACCACTCTTATTTGTTTATATTTTGATAACTGCATTTTTCTCAGCCCAATTTCTATGGAAATAAAAATGCTGTTTACTACCAGGGGAACTTGTTTATCTATCAGTGGGGATTACAGCTGAAATATTATGAGGTTCTTTTTAATTCAGTGGAATAGCCAGGATGTTTCAAGGTGCTATGATAGGATCCATTCAACCACAATGGTAAAGAGAAGCAGGGATAATGCTGTCTTAGATGTAAGTAGATACTTAAGACTCATCACAAGCAGTGTGGCTAATAAAGTGTGTGGCATTTGTATGATAAAATAGTAAAACAATAAAGCTAAACTGATGATGAAAGCAATTCTATCTTAAGAGAGTTTCACACTGAACAAAATGTATCTTCTAAATAAAAATTATGTTACAGATGTAAATATTCCTTTGAAAGCCTCTGAATGCATCCTTTACTAGCAGAGACTTAGCTATGTTATTTGCAATTCCCTCATTGTACCACAATGTACATTACTGTCTGTAAGCTCTAATTTGGCATGGCGCATCATTAATGACCTGAATGGTGGCTGTTTCACACATACATATTTAATTACAACAGCTGAACAAATTACATATTTATGCTTTATAAAGGGGATTGCCAGTCGAATTCATTTGCTATGCATGCAGGTACAGGGCTCCATCTGCAACAGCATCTGCAGACAAGAGCTGACAATTATCCATTGTACAGCCAGTAAGCATATCTGGGGAAACCTGTAAGGGAGGCAGGCACATTAACTATTTCACTGCCTCTGCCAGCCCCATTTTAACCAGGGGTCAAATCTTTTAATTTTTGTTGTTGTTGTTGTCTTGTTTTGTCTTTTCACATCTCTGCAAGTGCTTTACCACAGCCACATGACCAGTTTTGGTATTTTTGAGACAATGTTTTGCTATGTAACTCAAGTTGGACTTGAACACACAAACATCCTGTTTCCACCTCTGAGGGTATGCACTAACATATCCAGCTTCATTGTCTTCCAAAGCCTTGAGCAGTGACTCAATAAAATCTAAAGCTGTTTGTAATGCCCTTCTCATCTAGATCACCTTCTGATACACTTAGGATGAGAACAACCAACCCAAATTAGAAGTCCTGTACTATTACAGTGAGTCTGTCTGCTATTCATTCAGGTTCTTATAGAATCATTCATCCTCTTACATAGAGTGGGATTTATAGTTCCAGAATTCCAGAACTGGTCCTCACCACCCAACAGCTTCTCCTATGAGACAACTACCCTGCCTTAGAGTCAACTGCTATAGAAGTTAATGTTTTTGTTACCAGGCTTCACCACACCATATACAAGGACACTCAGAGGAAGTAGCTAAGGACTTTTAAAAGAGGAGAGCACACTCAGCCCCTTATGAGAATCCCCCAGACTTCTGGTGATCCATTCTCGTCATCAGTTGCTTTCTCTAGCTAAGCCACAACTAAAAGCTACTGTCCCTTTTGTCTTTTTTTTTTTTATAAAGTCCCATTGCCCATACTGTAAACTCATCTTAAATGGCCTTAGGACTTTCCTATGTTTAATTTAATATATCCAATGAGTAATATAAATACTCTGAACCATCATGTCTACTTCAAAACCCAAAGAGGAAGAATCAAGAATCAGCCAATCAATACCGAGGTTTCGCATTATCATTTAAGGCTTTTGCTAGGCAATAAAGAGGCTCCGGCATACTGGCCCCTAAAAGCTCCTCACGGTGTCTTTACCTCCTTAGGCCACAAAATAAAGAGCATGAGTCAGAGGTGTGGGTTTTCTAATGTTCCCTCTTGAGAGGCAGAGTTCAAGTCAGAGGCTAACTGTGTGGGGTGAAGGGACAGCAAACGGGCCTGGGGCCCTGGATAGAGTGAAAGGTGGAGTTCAGGGCTTCCTCCTGATGCCCAACTCCAGGGATGACCAGGGAAAATGACACGACACCAACAGGTTCTCCTGCTAGGAGGACAGAGTAAACTTCTCATGTAGAGTCAAGATTCCCTTGGTATCAGCAGTCAGGTTGGCCTTTGCGTAGAAGACTTAACTGGACACAGATGGGGCCAGTGGTTGGCTTGTGGGTTGTAAATCCAAACCAATGTACCAGAAGAAAAAACTCTTTCACATCCTTTTTGAGAACTACCTGAGAAACACTCCTCTCCTGGTGCTTGACAGGGGCACCAACTCCTTCAGGCCCAGAACCAAGTGAGGAGGAGCCCTAACTAGATGTGACCTCGCTTACCCTTGACCCTCAAAGAATACAGGCTTCCTCTTCTGGCGCTTCTTGTAAAACAAAGAACTGTCCCTCTGTGTCCCAATAGTTCCCTGCCTTCACACATAGAAAGCAC